AGAGCCAAAGATGTTAGAATTGTGTCAATGTCCCAATATTTCTGGACCTGACTGTATTTCCTTTTCGTGCTGCTTTAAAGGCAGAACATGGCATTAGAAAAAGAATGAGAGTGACTGAGACAAAGGGGTGTCGGGAAGAAGGCTGAGGGTGTCAGAGGGAATGGTTCTCTCCATCCGCTTCTATTATGGCCATATCCACTTCTTTCTGTAGCCCCATCATGCAGCTCCCTGAGGAAATGCAGCCCTCAGTAGAAAAAGTAGAACTCTCATGCTGAGATTAGGGCAGGTGTACTCTTCCCCCTGAGCTCTTGCTACTCCACCAGCGGTTGTTATGGAGTGGTCTTCCACTATTAGCAAAAGCTGCTGACATTTACCAGAGAATAGAAGATCTTAAGGTGTAGAGGGAGGAAAGTCCTTGGCCTTGCACAAGAGGCTAATGATATATGCTGTCTCTGCAGCTCTGTGTTCAGAAGCTGAGGATACTGATAGAAGACTCAGACCAAAACTGTAAGTATGGGAGATGCTGCCATCTTGGAAGGTAGTAGTAATTTATGCCAAGGAAACTAGGCACTGTATTCTAAAACTGAAATACCTAAAATGAAAACCCACATTCATTTTGCTCCTGGTGATGCTCTGTCTTCCCAACCCGCTTGGAAAATCTTATTTGGCCTCTCCTATGGGCTTCTGAGATCCACCAACTATTACTTCTAATGGTTTAAATATTCACTTCTTTTTTAATTGAAGGCATGTTAAAATTCCCAGAGAATTCCTTCAGAATTAGGGCATTTTATTTTATCATATTTTTATCTTACTTGCTCCTGGTCAAAGTGGCTTGTGGCCCCTGACCTCAAACTAAATAACATGAAGCAAAAGATATGGAAAACTAAGCAATGAAATTATTTGGGATATAATGAAAATGAGAGAATGCTGGAAGGACTATTTTCGAGATTTGTATGAAAAAGACAGTGATATGATAAAGGGTAGAATTGAACTGAATGCTGTAATATTAGAGTCCAAGAAAAACATAATGAAAGGGAAATCATAAATGCTGAGACATGTTGGAAATGCCTGCAGGTATAGAAACTGTAATTGAAAAAAATTTAAAATATTAGTTGGATGTGTTTGTACAATGGTTATGTGACCTGTTTATGTGTGTGAAGGCTCTATCTGTGTTTGACAATTGGAAGAGGGCCGTTATTATTCCCTTAGGCAGTGACAAAGATAGCAAAAATGAATGTAAAAATTAAGGAGATATGAGTTTGTTCAGTGGGCTGGGAAAGCGTTTAGTGGAATTCTGATCTAAAGGGTACAGGAGTTGACAGTGAGCAAAATTTAAGTGCAGTGTGTCTTCATGCAGAGAGGGAGTTTAAAGATCAGTTTTGCTCTCCAGCAGATCACCGAGAAAAGTATGAACATGAGAAAGTTTATTGTGCATTTGTTAGTTTAGAGAAAGCATATATTAAAGTGAAAAGGCTTGAATTATGGAATGTTTTGCTGATAGTTGTAATGATAGTATAGCATGTATAATGGAGTGCTTAGTGAATGGTTCAACACTGGGCAAGGAGTAAGACAAGGATGTGTGATGTCCCCTTGGTTGTTCAGTGTATTGAATGTGATGTGTTGGTTTGGGACATGTACATACACATTTGTATGCAGATGATATGTATTGCTATCTGAGAACCTAAATGAAATGCAGTGAATGTTAGATAGCTAGTGTAATGCAACCAGGAGCATAGACCTGAAAATGAATGTATCAGAACCCAGTATAGTTAGATTTGACTGAGAACATGGAGCAACTGCTGCATGTTATACATAAATGACAAAAACCTAGAGCAAATAAATGAATTTGTGTAATAGAACGTTTGTCTACAAATCTGAATAGAAAATATGGAACTAGTCAGACCAATAAACTAATATAAGAAAAATGCCTATGTTCCTTCTGCCCCTGTGGTAAATGCACTAGATCCAATAGACATGGACAAAGCTAACCCTCTATAGCAGAACAAAACCTTCAGACCAGTCTTGGAATTTGATCCATTTACCACCATGTGTGTATGTTGTTCTTGCAGAAATGGAGAGGGCCCTTATAAGGATTTTTTTGAATTGTGTTTTCTTTTGTGTGTTTTTTCCCTACATCAGTGAAGTATTTGGGATTGCTGGCAATGTCCAAAATCTTGAAAACACACCCTAAATCGGTACAGTCTCATAAAGATCTCATTCTCCAGTGCTTGGACGATAAGGATGAGTCCATCCGCCTCCGAGCCTTGGATCTTCTGTATGGAATGGTATGTTTGCTACTTACTGTGCATCCTGGCTAATTTATTTTTCTAAATATTGCGCTGTCTTCCTAGACACCAGAGTGGCTAATAAAGTCATGAAAGTAATGAGATGGAAAAATGAATCTAAAATAGCTTATTCATTTATTATTTCTTTTTAAACTAAGCAATTGTATCCCAAAACCACTTCAAGGCAGGGGAGAACCTGGCAAGTCAAAAGTTGCCAGAATGAGGTAGCTCACTGCTACATCTTATGTGTTTTCTGCCAAGTTGCATCAAATAGACAGCTTCCCATGTACTGTATAGAGACCAACCCCATTACCAAAACAGGGGCCTGAGTTTCTATTTGTCTGGGTCCTTGCTGCAGGTGTCCAAGAAGAACTTGATGGAAATTGTAAAGAAGCTGATGATCCATGTGGACAAAGCTGAAGGAACAACTTACAGGGATGAGCTGCTGACCAAAATCATTGATATATGTAGCCAGTCCAATTACCAGTACATCACAAACTTTGAATGGTTAGTATTTACCACATACATAGTTCCTGCTTTATAGCCTCAGGAGGATCTCAGCGGTGTACAGTATACAATATTCTCCTCCAAAGTAAAGTTTAAATACAGGTAGTCCTCGCTTAAGGGGTCTGAATACTTTCCAAATGCACTGTATATTCATACAAGCACACACACATGTGGAGACACACACACATACTCGCCTTGAGCAAGTTTTATCCATTTCTAATTCAACATTGTGTGAAATTAGAAATAATAGTAGTAACACTATATACTTTTTGTACCCTGTTGCTCTAATGGGAGCTGTAGCTACTGTTTCTGAGCCATTCTGATACAGAGAGATGAAGGCAAGGCAGAACAAACAAGGAAAGAGAGGAACCGAAGAAGCAGAAGCTATCAGTGGCCATGTAATGATGTTCGGGGGGGGGGGGGAACTAGGCTAGGAACAAGAGTTTGAAAGCCAAAAGCAAGCTGAGGAAGAAATTGAGAAGAGATAACTAGAGTATTTGAGTACGTAGGAGCCATAGGGGTAATAGAGATCTTAAGATTTGAATTGTTGAAAACTGCAGTGTGCATGAAGTGTGCATGAAAATTGCCTGTAGGCCTCCTAATAATGATAGTCTCATTACTGAGACTATCTTGCCCATTGGTACCCTCTTCATATCCGCCTCAGGTACATCAGCATCCTAGTGGAGCTGACACGGCTGGAAGGTACAAGGCACGGCCACCTCATCGCCTCCCAGATGTTAGATGTGGCGATCCGAGTAAAGGCTATCCGCAAATTTGCTGTGTCACAGATGGCCATGCTTCTGGACAATGCTCACCTGCTGGCCAGCAACACACAGAGGAACGGAATCTGTGAGGTGCTATATGCTGCAGCTTGGATATGTGGAGAGTTCTCAGAGTAAGTGCCTAGGAATCTGGTGGTTTGAAAAGGAAGGGTTTTCAAGAGGCTGAGTTCTCTCTTGCTGTCCCTGATGCCTGAAACATCTCTTGTGACTCCCCTTTTCCTGTCCTGGAGGAGGGGGAAAGAAATTCCCTAAGTTTTCCTCTTCACTTCAGACACCTCGAAGAACCCTACCAGACCCTTGAAGCCATGCTGCGGCCTAAAGTGACCACGCTTCCAGGCCATATCCAAGCAGTGTATGTCCAAAACATGGTGAAGCTTTATGCCTCAATTCTGCAGCAAAAGGAACAGGCTGGTGAGAAGGAAGTGGCCCAGGAGGCAACCCAGATGATGATTGACCGTCTGCCTCAGTTTGTGCAGAGCGCGGATCTTGAAGTCCAGGAGAGGGTAAGAAAAATCTGAGACTTTTTCTTTGCCGAATTGGCCTTTCAGCTTGCATTTTGCTGAGTTGGGGGTGAAATGAAAGCTGTTTTTTCTCTTTAGGCTTCCTGCATCCTCCAGCTCATGAAGTACATCCAGAAGCTTCAGATCAAAGAGGTCCCTGTGGCTGAAGAAGTGACTGCCTTATTTGCTGGGGAGCTTAACCCTGTAGCACCTAAAGCTCAGAAGAAAGTTCCAGTTCCAGAAGGGTAAGATTCTCTGCCTTTTCCAGTAGGATGATAATATTAGGTCTCAAATTCTGTAGCATAAGCAGCCTGGGCCCGTCCCATCTCCACAGAGCTTAGAAGAACCAGCAGATGATACTTATGTGTATGTGGGGGTGGGGTGCTTGGCAGTCTCTGTTTTAACAACAGGATGTGGATTAAAAGATTGGCTGAAGTCTTCTCACATCAGCTGAAACAGAGATTCATTTATTTCATAGTTTGGATCTCGATGCTTGGATCAATGAGCCACCTTCAGACAGTGACTCTGAAGATGAAAAACCAAGGACCATATTCCATGATGAAGAGCAAAGGCACTCAAAGCAACGGCAGCCTGAAATGGATGAGGAGGAGCTGGCCAGGGTAAGCTGGGTGAATGGGTATGGGCAGTTCCAGTGTGCATAAAATGTCTTTAAAGTTCATTGCATTTTTTAAATATAATTGTCCAGAAGGTCCCCTGAGAACTTTGTTGTGTGATTGCCAGAGTCTTGCAACATTTCATGATCTTACAAGATTTTAGTCATTTTTTAATTTTTTTTTTGATGGGAGGATGTACTGTTGCATAAAATTGTGCCTGAAACAATTCCTGACTCTTTGATTGAGTTATTGAAGCTGTTTACATCTTATTCAATCTTACCCACTCTTTAACAGTGCAACTGACTTTCTATTTTGACCTTGGATTGTTAGTCTTTATTCAGGTGGAATGGGGAGACACCTTTGAATTTTCTTTTATAAATGGAACTCAAATGAGAGTAATCCTACTTCTGAATATTTTTGTTTGTTTGTTTTAAAGCGCCGAGAAGTTAGGAAACAGGAACAGGCAAACAATCCATTTTACATTAAAAGTTCTCCATCTCCACAAAAGGTAAGCAAGGTTTATTTGGGAGATAAAAATAGTGGCTTCCTAGATACATATATAACATTTGATTTTCTATTTAAGTGTTTGCATGCATCTGTCAGACTACTGTGTCTGAACATTAGTACTAAATTCCTCTTTTGTTTTCTCCAGAGGTACCAGGATAGCCCTGGTGTTGAGCACATACCTGTGGTTCAGATTGATCTCTCTGTTCCTTTAAAAGTTCCTGGTAAGAGAATTTTATGGCTGATTTCAGCATCATTTGTTCACTGTCCCTTCTTTATTCATTGCTCAGACTTGAAGACAATTGTTTATGTAACCACCACTCAAAAGTAGGGAGATGTTAGCAGGCTTGGAGAAACACCAAGGTTTTCAGAAGTTCAAAATATCTGGTATAGGAATCTGAAAATCAGGCCATGAAAACTGAACATAGTTAATAAAGCAAGAATTCTGACTGCTTGGAGAGGGACAGAAAACTGGGCACAGTTCCCACTGTTTCTCTGTAAAAGCCAATTCCCAGCATTCTTGCCCTTTCCAGGCCTATTTATTTGATTCTTGACACAGATGCGCATGTGCGTATGTAATACGTACATCCCAAGTGGATGACTTTGTCACTTAGGACCAAAACCATGATAGAATAAAAAAGGTTTTAACCATTTTGCAGAATGCATGGAGGGACGATGCTGCATGTATTTCCAGAAGAAACACTTTCAAGAGTGGGGGGGGGCACTATAGAAAGGGCCCACTGACTGGGTGGGCAAAGTAAATTTTGGCAAGGTGGTGCCTGGCATAACATGTATAGAACTTTGTAGATAATCATGAGGGCTTTCAATTGGACCCAGAAGCTATTGATCACCAACGCAACAACTCATTAGCTGCAGTGGCAAGATTGCCATGCCAGCATTCTAGCCACTACATTCTGGACCAATTGTAGCTTCTGGGTCATCTCCAAAGTCTAGCCCACATAAGGTGTATTGCAGTAATTCAACTGTGTGGTGATCAAAGCATGAATTGCTATTGTCAGGGCACCCTGATCTACATAGGGTTGCAATTCATGTGTCAGCTAAACCTGGTCCATATTGTTTTCTCATTAATAGTAGATTTTTAAAAAATGTACTTTGGTTAAAAACATTTAAAGTGCTATAGAATATAATACAATAAACAGTAAATCTTAAAAACAGAATACAGCATAGAGACAAACAGCTGTACTTTTTAAGGGCTACAACATTTAACTATTTAGTTAAATCAGTCAATTTATGACATTCATATCCTGCTCTCCAGTCAGAAACTTCCTAACTGGTTTAAAAAAAAATCAGTAGTGTGACAATCCCCATCCAGAGCCTTAAAATCTAGAAGACATAACACACAAGGAAAAGAGGATGAAGAAGAGGAGGAGAAAAATAGGCAAGTTTGGATACTTACCAGTTATAATCTTTATCATGACCCTATTTAACAAAATATTTCAGATAGCTTTCTGAAATGACTGCTGCTAGGTGACAGTTGAGAGATCTCAACTTTTTCTTAGTGTTATTTTACAAAGATTGCAGGTGGAAATGACGCTGTTAGATATTCTCCCTTCTCTCACACAGGATGATCAATGATGCATCTGTGCATCATCTGTTAGCAAAGTTTACAGTTTCTTCAGAATTGTCACCTTTTCTTGGAATTTAAGTCAGGTGGTTTTTAAAGCACCTTAAGTAAAAGCTGCCTTTAGTTCAGTAGCCAGCCTCTACAGAATCCCTTCTGGGAGCTACTTTTCTCCCTTCTGGCCTTGTCAGGCTTACCAGCATCTGACCAGTATGTAAAGCTGGAAGAGGAGCGTCGGCACCAGCAGAAGCTGGAGAAGGACAAGAAGAAAAAGAAGCAGAAGAAAGAAAAATGGGGCAAGAACCGTCGCCACAGTTCCCTACACACAGAGAGCGATGAGGATATTGCTCCTGCCCAGCACGTGGATATTATCACAGAGGAGATGCCAGAAGTAAGTGCTCCAGGGCTTTGAGGCCTGCCTGCCGAGATTTGGTGGATGCAGTTGGAATGGGAGTGGAGAACGGAGGGCCCTTTGGTTCACATTCCTCCTCCACTGTATGACCCTTAAGCCCTTTGCTAGGTCTTGGCCTGGCCCTGCCGATGGTGGGCAGGGCTTGACAGAAGTAAAGGATGGAGCGCAGCCTCAGGCAGATACAGGTTTAAGAACGAGTTCCGTTCCCAAGGACTGTCCTTAAGTCGAATTTGTATGTAAGCTAGAACAGCGTTATTGTATAATACTGTATAAAAAGTATTGTGTAATGAACTCGAACCATTGTGTATTTAACTCGACTTTTGCTACAGTAGGGTCCATTCTTAACAACAGGTTGCCTGTAACCCGGGCATTCTTAACCTGGGGACTATTCATCCTCTCTTTCTAACCTCCCTTTCCCCCCTTCCTTCTCTTAATCTCCCCAGGGAAGAAATAGTTAGCTCTTGCCATAGGTCCAAACTGATCACTGTTAGAGAGCTTTCGAATTAGGCCCAAGGTCATACAAACTTAAGCTGTCCTGTTCTTGATATATTTTACCAGGGTGGCATGGCTTGTGGGTGGATGGTTGTTTTTCAGCAGAATAGGCTGTCTTCCTGGCATGCATGTCTCTTGCCATCAAAAACAGTGGTATTAGTACTCTGCAAGTCATGAATGAAACAAATGTGAACTGTAGCCAACAATCGCTTCTTCCAGTGTTGCATTCATCAGTGAAACTGCTTGATCAAAGGGGATGAATCTAAGCACCCTTGAGGAATAGGGATCACACTCCTTTTTCCTTGAGAATTGATACCTCTTACATAAACTCATTTTCTGCCTCTTATGCCTTTATCTAGAATGCTCTGCCCAGTGATGAGGATGACAAGGATCCAAATGATCCCTACAAGGCACTAGATATTGATTTAGATAAGTAAGTACAAATCTTAGCTCTTGCACAACCTTCTAAAGTTCATGCCAAAATGCAGTGTTTAATTCTGTAGACTACCATAAGAGGAATTTGCAGTGAACTCACCTTAAGTTAAAGTAGACAGCCTCAGGACTTGGGCTTTAATTCTTAAACTGCTGGTTTTACAAAGAGGTTTTCCCCAGAATTAGTTGTAGAATGGCAGCTTGGATATTACCCTGGTACATCTGAGACCTGAACATGAAGATGCATTAACCATTAGGCCCTTCCAAAGGGAGGGCTGCAGGCTTGGATCTTCCTTGTGCCGTTAGAGAAGGAATGGAGAGACCTGCAGCTTTCCAAATGTTTCTAGACTGCAACTCTTCAGGCCTTAGCCATGCTCCTTAGTGTTGATGGGATTTGGAGTTCAGCTGTCAGCAGAGGCCAATTAGGTTTCACAGTCTTGCTATACCAGTTCCCTAAATTGCAGATGGAGGCAAAAATGTGTCTGTTTTTCAACACTGTTCCAGGAGATGTTGTTGGGATCTCTCAGATTTTTTCTCTTTTGCCTTTGGTTTATTTCCATTCCCAGAAGTTGTTGTATCCTGTGGTCATGTTGTTTTTCTTTCTGTCTGTCTGTCTCTCATACACAGTCTGATTTCAGGGAGTTCTGCCAGGTAAGTTCCCTCTTTGACAGTGTGGAAGGTTAACTGCTTCTATTCAACGCTGTAAAACACAACATGGCAAGTTTCAGCTGTTTATGCAGAAAACATCCTTTAGTTTAAATCTACACTCACAGACATAAATCTCTCTGTTTATAGTCTGGAAGAAAATAATCAATGTATGACGATTGGTTGCAAGGCCACTGAATCCTATCATCAATCATGTTTAAGCCAAAGAATAGTAGCCCTGCTACTACATTTACAAATGTTCCCAAACTTGAGCAGAGATTTGAGAAATTATTATTTGATTGATAGATGTGTTGGGCTTTACAGTGTGCACTGTTCCTTTTCCTCTTCTCCTCCACGCACCCCCTGTAAAACGAGTTTCAAGACTAAAGTTTTGTACTAAGAAGGAATCTCCAATTGCTTCAAGATGATTACAACAAACTGCAGAGTTGAAGACCAAATTATACATTTCAAGTGGGCTATTATTTCCTTTTTCCAGTTCTTTTTTCCACTTAATAAAGTCTGATAAACGTTTTCAGAGAAGTTCTGTATTTGTCATTAACAGCAAAAATTCTGATCATGAGGAAGCTGGGGGTGAGGGAATGAATGAATGGCAATTCTGTTCTGCAAAAAGTTAAGTGAGCAAATAAAAAGTTCACTAGTATTTGCAACTTTCTGAATGTGACTAGAAAAATAATCAGAACAGAAGCTGTGTTTTTCTTCTTCAGGCCATACAATTCTAGACTTAAAATGATCTGAATTTTTTAAAACATTGCATTTTTTCATCTAGGAAAAGTCTAGATGAAATTTTCTCTTTTTTAAAAATAATAGCTTTATTAAATTTTAAAAAGAAGAAAGATAAAAGCTAACACAAACTAATAATCAAGAAAAAGAATAGAAAGAAAGAAAGTAGAGATAAAGAAAGCAAAAGTGCTGGAAAATGGAAAAGGAGAAGAAGAAAAACAGAAATACAAAAAGAATGACTTCCGACTTCTAATACAGCAGATATAAATGAAACATAAAATAACCTCTTATTCTAAAGCTACATCTTAACATACATGTTTTGCACAGTCTGTTCCTTTGTCTAATCGTCAAATCCATATCATAATTTCGTTTCTTTCTGTTTGCCGCAAAAACTCCAAAAGGGGCTTCCAGTTAGCATTAAAGTTAGTCAATGTTTTTTCTCTAAGCAAAGCTGTCAGTTTTGCCATCTCACCTCTCCATCAACTTCACCATCCATTCTTCCCTTGTAGGTAGTGTCGAATCTTTCCACCTTTGAGCGTATAAAAGTTTAGCTGCGGTTATCATGTATAAAAACAAAATATGACATTTTCTCAGTCTTCACTTTCTGGAAATTATTCCAGTGTCAAAAAAAGACTTGCTTGCTTTTATGTTCAAGGGTTGTATGAATAAAATTCTAACAGTTTTGTTTGATAAATGTGACTTAGTTTCCTGTGATCCTCTTTGGACTGTATTGAACACTAAAATTATATTTTGTCACATGTAGTGGAACTAGTTCACTTTGATATGTTGTGCTGACCCTGAACTGCTATTGGAAGCCTGGATAGACATTTGGGTGAATTTCATTGAAGATCTTACCTTTTTTTTTTTTTTTTAAGGCCTTTAACAGATAGCGAGACGCTTCCTGTGCAGAGGCATCGAAATGCTGATAACCTTAAATCTCCTCAAGAAACGCAAGCCCCCCCAGTTGAAAAGAAAAGCAAGAAGCCAAAAAAGAAGGAAAGGAAACACAAAGAGAAAGAGAGAGAAAAAGAAAAGAGAAAAGACCGAGAAAGAAAAACAGATGAAGAAGACAAAAAGGTAATGCCTTGATTCTGCACACCATATTTTTTACAAAAGTAGAAGTCCAGTGAAGGCTTTTAAGAACTTCTAAATAGGTATAGGTACCCACAAGGAACAGTGGAATGGAACCTATTTCAAGGATTCTGGCTTAATAATAAATATTATATGCTATTTATAATATTTGTGCATGCATTATAAGTATTTATAATATAAATAATAAAGATGCCTCAAATATTTCTGAACAAAAATGGTATATTTGCATATATAACCAGAATTCTAAATTGAAGTGACCAGTTTCTAGATGATTATCCTGGATTTTCATATAAATCTCAGAGAAGTTGAGGGAAAGCACTAATAATTTAATATCTTGACCAATATTCCATCTCCACTGGGACACTATGCTCAGGTTTGCCAGGATGTGAACAGTCCTCCAAATTTAAGAACACTTAAGGTAGCTGTCTTAAAGATGTGACTTGCTTCTTTTGCTTGTCAGAAATCTGTGTAGAAGTAATAGGAAGAATGTTCACTTTTGTACTTTAAGACAGTGGTCTTATGGATTTCAGTCACAGCAACCCATATATTGTGGGTGGGAGACATCTGCATCATTGAACAAATGCGTGGGGTACCTAAGCTACTTCACATGTACGCATCCAATTACATGTTTGTGGTTTTCAGGCTGTGGCCTGTAAGCTAGGTTAAAGGATTAGGAATTAGTCATTTGAATGCACCTAATAGTTCAGCCGTGTTTATAAAGTGATATAGAGGAATAAATATCCCCATATTGTAACCGTGTGCATGAACATGAAGCTTGCCTAACTTAATTTGAGTGGCCTAGACTGGGAACATGTAGCATGTTCTTCACTACCATGCCATTTTGGGATAAATGATTTTATGAAAGAAACAGAATTAATCTGTAACACGATTGATTATATGCCATAAAGTTGGTGTCAATTCTTGGTGACCACACAGATATTTTCTCTAGGATATTCTGTCCCCAACCTGGTTCTTCAGGTCTTCCAACAATGCACCCATCAGCACTGTAATTGAGTCCATCCACTTTGCTGCTGGTTGTCCTCTTCTCTTTCCTTCCACCTTACCTGGCATTTTGGACTTCTCCAGAAAGATAGATCTTTGCATAATGTGTCTGAAGTTTGATATTTGGAATCTGGTCATTTGTGCTTCAGATGAGAACTCTACGTTGATTTATTCAATGATCCATTTGTTTGTTTTCTTAGCTGTCTTCAGTATTCTAAGGAGTCTTCTCCAACACCAGAGTTCAAAAGCCTCAGTGAACTTTCTGTCCTGCTAATTCAAAGTCCAATTTTTGCTTCTATAGAGTGTTGCATGGAATGCCATTGCCTGTAAAATTCTGATCTACGTAGGAATAGACACATCCTGGCATCTGAATATCTTTTCCAAGGCCTTCATGGCTGCTTTACCAAGTGCTAGTCTATGGCATATTTCTTGACTGCTCATTCCTTTACTGTTGATAGTTGAGTCTAAAAGGCAGAAACTCTCCAGTTTCTTAATTGCCAGTTCTAAGGCTGGTTCCTCTACCTGTTGTCATTAGTTTGGTCTTCTTTATATTTAATCTTAGTCCCATTTTTCACTGTGCTCCTTGATTTTCATTACTATAGCTTGCAGATCATTTGCATATAACACAGTAGGCAACCAGAACCTGTTAGATGGTGGCAACTGTTGCACCTGTAGTACAAGAACAGTCTTAAGGAATACTGGGACACATCATAATGCTTATTCCAAACTGTGGCCTACAGATCACAGTGGCTGGGTTCATATCGCTTGCTAAGCTCAAACCAAGCAAACCACATTATGCCTAGTGCTATGTGTGAGCCTTATAGAAGAATATGTGCTTCGACTGCTTGAAAATGTCCTATAATAATTATCCCATAATACTTTTTGGTTGGTTATTCCAGCCTCAAGACATGGACCTGTGGCTTTCTGATACCCCACCACCTGTTGCTGCTGTGGAGGCAAAGGTTAGTTTCTTCTTTATAGAATGTGTAGCGCAGTGTTGTCCAAACTTGGCCACTTTAAGATGAGTGGACTTCAACTCCCAGAATTCCCCAACCAGCCATGGGGTCCACTCATCTTAAAGTGGCCAAGTTTGGACAACACTGGCGTAGCGGCACCTCTGAAAAATATTGGTTCCAGACTTTATAAACTGGTTGGTATTTGCTAGGGAAGGGAGGGGATCTCTACCAAAGAAAATCCAAGTAAACTGGGTAAATTACTTTAATTAATTCACTATGCCAGAGGAGGGTGACTCATAGCATCCCCTTTCCTTCCCTTGTTATCTCAGGACCAAATTAGATGTGATGTTAAATTAATCTTTGCATTTAATGTAGAGATTTGGGGGTGCGGAAAGAGCATCAGCAGTGATGTTGAGTTGATCATTATTAGTCTCAAAGGGTGCAAAGAAGTTAATTTATTTTCCTTGTCTTCAGAAAAAAACATTCCTCTGAAAGTATGATCTGCATTAGGAGGAAATATTCTGCTTCCTGCTGGAGGTTCTTCCCTCTATCCCCCCCCCCCCCCAAACAAGTGCAACTTCAGAGGAAGTATTATCCCCTGCAGTTAAGGAAGAAATGGTAACATGTTTATCTTCCTTCTCCATACCTTCATGTCATTATTAGCTCCCACCTCAGGTGATGCTTTTGTATTTGCATTTCCTAAAATGCAGAGGTGCATGTATCTACTTTGGGGGAGGGGTTTTTTTTCTGCTGTTCATTTATTTTTTCCAAGACTCATTGCTAGTGAGAGAAGTCCCTGCCTTTTGCACATGCTGATGACCTTTAACCTAAGGAGAAGCTAGTTAACAGAAAAGGAAGCTACATAGTAAGGCAGAGTACCTATTTGTGAGCCCATAGCTGGAGATGTGGCCAGTGATTACAAATTGAGAACCATTGAGATATTCTTACAACTGGGATGGGCAACCCACAGATGATATGTGTCTTATCAGTTCCTTTTTTTACAACCTGCTGAGTCCCCCAATTACACTATTGAACTTTGGAGACAACCCCCCAAATTATGGCAAGGTGGTTTTGTTTATTTCTTTTTTACAAAACTAAGCAATGAAATAGGCTTAACGCATCTATTTTACTCAAAACACCAGAAAGCCAAGTGCAGAAAAGGATGTGAAAATTCTAGCCCTACCTCTTTCAGCTATGTCATTTTCACACACCCCTGCAGTCTCTGGCTACAGAAGGGTTGCCCTCTTCTGCCTTACAGCTTTGAGAGACTTTAGGATGTGCTTTGAGTGGACTTGATGACCCGATGAAGCAAGAGCAAAGATGCTGGCATGGACTTTCAGTTGGTGGGCTCCACTTTCAAGGGGTTTGGGGAAGGAGGCTGACGGTAGTATGAAGACTTGGGCTAACATGGAACAGGGATCATAACTGGGATGACTTGACCCACATATTTTCTGAGATGTTCCCAGTTACAGTCTCTTAGACCAGACTGGCTTTTATTATCCCAGTTTGTTTCTTTAGCAGAATCTGCCTGAAGTGAGTGTAGACCCAGCAGAACCTGAAGAAGCTAAGAAAGAGGAGGAACTTCAGGAGGAAGATGAAGGAAAGGTGAGTGGCTTAGAGATCTCCACTTTTCTGTATTTGGCCTGGGAACTGATGCTTCTTGGCCAGTCTCTGATAATGGCATCCTGTATCTTACCTCATCTGGAAATATTTTCAGCACGATTTGAATCTGCTGTAATTTTTGAGCTGCCTTTGATCAACAGTATCTCAGGCAGAGGGCTAGGCTGGCTAATATGAGTTTTAGCAGCAGTTTCTGGTAGATACATGAGTTGTCCAAGACAGCAGCTTTTACTGGTTGGGCCAAGAAGGAGCTGAGGAACTGGGAAGCTGACTCTTGATCTATGTGGCCTTGTAGAAATCCAAGCATAAAAAGAAGAAGCATAAGAAGGAGGAAAAATCTAAGGAGAAGAAGCTCCCAAAACATCATGACCGAGGGGAGGAGCCGCAGATGGAATCTGTGCAGAACGGAACGCTGGAGGAAGAGCCGCTGCCAGTGAGAAGTTTGCTCAGGGGAGAGGGTTGTAATTGTTCAACAGCTGAGGCACTGAGATTCCAAAAGACCTGGCTGCCCTGGCATGGCTCTGCAGCAGCTTTGCCCAGCATCTGGTACTTTCCAGACATGTTGGATACCAGCTCCCATCACCTGGTTAAGGTTATTGGGACTGTAATCAACCATCACCTGGTTGTTAAATCTACTGCATTGTAACCACAAGAGCACTACTTTGCTGTATAGGTAGCTCCCAAGTTGTACATCCTTTGCCTTCCCTTTTGCTTGCCTTGACTTTTCTTATTTTCCTCTTTTCCAGCCTATGTCAAGTTATAGCCTCCTTGCTGAAAATCCATACATTAAAATGGTGAGTAGTCAATGTGTTTTTCCAATTTTTGGCTTCCTCTTGATTTCTTTGGACTATGATTGGGAGCAGGTATCTACTGTCTCTTGCTCTTGTCTTCCACACCAGTTTTCAGCAGTACGAAGGAGCTCCTAAGTTCTCTGTGTCCTCTCCCTTCCAATTATTCTTTTTTGCAGACCTATGATATCCAGGGGAACCTCCAGAATGATAGCCAGGTTACTGTTTCTGTGATCTTTGAGAATAAGAGCAGCAGTTTCCTGAAGTGCATGGAGCTGAATGTTTTGGACTCTCTGAATACTAAAATGCTGCGGCCAGAAGGATCCTCCATCCACGATGGGATACCTATCCCTTTTCAGCTGCCTCCTGGTATGGCTGCCTGCTTCCTGGCAACAGAGACTTGGGGTGAGGGTGGGTGGGAATGAGCTTGTTAAAAAGAGTCTTGGAGGACAGGGCATATCTCATTATCAGAACGTATCACGGTTGTGTCTGAGCCAAACTTTTGAAGTTTACCTTAGATTTCTAGAGCAGTGTTTCTCAACGATGACAACTTTTAGATATGTGGACCTCTACCCCCAGAAATTCCCCTTGTGTGTGGGGAATTTTGGGGGGGGAAATCTGATATAATT